GTTGATAGTCAAGCTGCTCTTAGAGCATTGGTTTGTCACACGGTACATTCGCGCCTAGTTGTAGATTGTAGAAATGCCCTTAGGGACATTATGAGACTGTTTGTCATTAGATTGTGTTGGGTGCCAGGGCACTGTAGGGACAGGGAAAGGATGGTAAAACCACCCCTGTGGCCAAAACTTGATATGGGTGCTACCAAAATACTTATAGGACTGGAAAGACGCAGTCTAAGGGTTCTGATAGGGTTTCTAACCGGACACTGCTCAGTTAGAACCTTTGTCAGTAAGTGGGACAGTAGTATACCGGACTATTGCAGGTTATGCGAAGATGAGGAGGAAGTAGAGACGATCGAGCATATTATCTGCCAATGTCCTAGGATACAAAACCTCAGGCTGAAATGGCTAGGGAATAGGTTCCATGGCGAACTGGGGGAAATTGCGGGACTTAACCCTCGCAACCTACTAGGTTTTGTCAAGGGAATTAGTCACTTCTTTGACTGGGCTTTATAGGGGGACATAGATTTTCTTTATTATATATGATTATTTATTTATCTGTATTTAATTATCTATTCATATATCCTCTTTACCTATTTTCTTTCATTCTTGTATTGTTGTAGCGTTTTTTGTCTTCTCTGTTTTGAATCTTCACTTTTCGAAGGGAATCACAATGGACCTTATGGTTTCCGAGTGGATATACACCGTTTACCTAAACCATAAATAACGCTGGCAATAACCATATTGAGTCAGTCTATGGTAAAACGGTGTTGAGTAAAGTTAATAAAGTCAAGTGTGCTTTTGTGTGTTGAAGAAGAATATACCGCCTTACAGTTTACGGTATATGTTGTGTAGTTTTATTAAAGTGTTTGTGTATAAAACTGTGTAAACAAAAAGTTGATATAATTTTAAACTTTTTTGACGCTTTTATTTGCAAAAAATAATCCGGGTTATTTCAAAAGGAAATAAACAAACGTTTTAAAAGGTAAAATGTAACAATATTTTTTTTTTTTATTTTTCTGCATAAGCAAGAAATTACGACACCCATTTAGAAAAAAGCGAAACAAATCTTCCTCTCTAACCCACTTAAAATCATTTCGTGGACCAATAATACTCTAAAACAATTTTAAAATAATTTTCCCCTAAAACAGCTTTAAACTACTGAATTTCGACCCATTTTGAAAAGACTGCAGATTTTTTTAATGTATTGTACTGTACTGGTAGGGAACTAAGGCCCCTTTCAAAAATATGGTTTTTATTTTTCTCGTATTCAATACTTTAATACGCATCGATTGAGAGGTATTCCTACATGTAATTCTTTAAAAGGCAGTTCCTTGGAACACTCTAACATATATGTGTACATATTTAAATCAGCGAAAGGCAGAGAGTAAAAAAATTGTTCTTTGAGTGGTACAGGGGTGTTAGATGTGACGATTTTTTTTTGTAAATTTAGCTAAATTACGATTGACGATTTTTGATACAAAATCCCCCTATTTTGACGATTTGTTTAATATTTAATGAACATTTTATGGTAAATTAATTAATTACATTATTAAAATTTTGTTTTTAACAAAATATAACAGGAGAATAATAAAAAAGTATAGAGTATTAATGCGCAAAAATTAAAAGGATTTATTTTAATAAAAATTTAGCTACTTGCACCATACATACATACATGTGTATGTATGTATGTATGTATGTATGTATGTATGTATGTATGTATGTATGTATGTATGTATGTATGTATGTATGTATGTATGTATGTATGTATGTATGTATGTATGTATGTATGTATGTATGTATGAATTTAATTATTTAGTTTAAAATTCCTCAGAATTATACTGTGAAGTATAGCCAATATCGTTTACACACCTCCATATAAAACTCTTGAACGCTAGGGAAAAGTTATTTGTATATTATGTTAATGTACAGATACAATTAGTCATAAAGAAGTTCTGGATATTTTTAAATTTCTCTATGAATTTTATACTTTGGTCCTAGCACCATTTAATATCGCCATCAGAATGTCACTTTAACTTTCATAATAGACTTACAAATTGTTTGAATACATTTCTAGCAAAAGTAGTAAAATAAGAGATAAATGAAAAATATTCTCAAAAAGTAAACGAACGAAAAACCAAAAAAATTTCGTTTCATTGTCATTACATACACTCCCGCTCACTTAAATAGGTTCACTATTTTGTTTACATTCAAATTAATGTGTTGCAAAAAATAATGGACTAATTGGTTATATTAAAATTTAAATTAGTAGCATAATGTCTTATGTGTCACTAGATAGATAAACATTAGTGCAATACTTAATAACCGATTTTTAACAAAATTTTTTCTATTACAACAATATTTTTTTGGCTCATTTGAATAGGTTCATCATCTTTAATTTACAAAAACAACAACAAAATGCATTTTTCAATAAACTTTTTTATTTTTATAAATATTTTTACATGGTTTTAGAAAAGATTGAGTAAGAAACATATCCGCCGTTACTTGAGATAACTTCGAAAATTCGAGGTGATAAAGAGTTATTAAGGTTCTTAAGTAATGACAAGGAAATTTCGGTCCAAGCCTTTTTAGTTCCTTCAATTTAGGCTTCTTTTGTGTTATACTGTCTACCCGACCTATACACTTTACGAGAAAGAATATCCGAAACATTTTCAATAATAAATAAGTGAGAAGATTATGTAGGCTATTCCAAAATTTTTACATTCTGGCATCGAATCCATCCATTTACAGCCCTGGCGGTATGGATCGGGGCATTATATTTTTGAAATATCCACGGCAAGGGTTCAAAGATATCCGAAAATGTGAAAAAAGCTGTTTCCAGTATGGCATTATAATTATTACAATTCCTACTAGATGAAAGAAATTGAAGCTCACATGTTTCATAATACGAAATTGACCCCCCCCCCCCCCAATACATCCAACATCCTCCACAGCTTTGCAGAAAATAATTATTATATCGATCTGGATCTTCTAAATTAAACTTTTTTTTCATCCGAACGAACAAGATGTTGATATTGCTTTTTATAACCATGTGTTCATGTGCAAACTGAAGAGGGTTTTTCATTATGAGTGGCAATCGGAAAGGCTTTTATTAATTTTTTAATATTGTTAAAGCCTTGTCCCTTCTTACAATAAGTTTTACTGCAGCTAGGCTTGCTATAACACCCACTTTTTATTAAATTTTTGCTGCAGAATCACTTGACAGAATAATGTAAAATTTATCTAAACATTGAAAAAATGTTGATCCAAAAAATATTTTTCTATAAATAAAAAATTTTTTGTTGATTAAATTACAGAATTACAGCACACTTGATTTTTTTTATATTTAAATTTTCTGTTCTCATATACAATGTTAATCACAAGTATATTAAGATGTATTGCAAAAAAATTTTATTAAAAATTTAAACTTCATATCCAGATTTTATATACAAGTAAATCAAATTATAAGTAACACAAAGTAAAGCACACAACATTGGTTACAATTCCTAGTACTCTGAAAATTTTCTGTGGGGTTTTTTAACAACAAAAATATTTTTTATTTTAAGAAAAAATTTAACAGAAATTCAAAAGTAATTTGATGAGAAAAAATAATATTACAAGTCTAAGTCAGAGGAGCTCAAGATTGCCATTTAATAGCACGCGTGATAGGGTAAGAAAATTCTGCTGAGTCGATACACATACACTATAGGTTTAATTCTTCTTCTTTTTATAATGAGCAATATCAGTTGGTTTGCTCTCAACTTGAAAAACAAATTCAAATCAGTTGCTGATCAGCACTTGTCGAAGCAACGTCTGTGGCTGGCGTTTTTAAAATACACACAGAAATACAACAACAAAATTTTGAGAAAGCCGAATTAATGTAGGAGAACATGAGAGAACAGTTGATAGTTTTTTATATATAGACTTTGATATACGCTGGCTGTCAAAATCCATAATAAATATTTGACAGTTAGCATATACTTTATAGTTTGTAGTCATTTTATTAGTATACCTTTATTTTGAATTGAATTCTGTTCTCTGCTGCTTTACCAACACAAATAAAACTATGGTAGTCTATGGTAGTATGTGTTTGAGCACCTCTGGTCTAAGTGCGAGCTTTAACGGGGCTTGTTATAATTTGATGAACTACACAGTGTTTTGTTTCAAAATTTACATTATTCTGAGAAAGCAGTTGTGGATATTGTTGTAATAATGAATGAAAACGATGCTCAATTGAAATATAGCACGTGCGATCGAAAACAGTTTGCTATATATTCAGCAATTAAATATTTTCGGTACTTTTTAGAAGGAAGGCCATTCAAAAAGTTTACTGATCATAAACCATTAATTTTTGCATTTGAACAGAACTTAAATAAAGCCACTCCAAGACAATGTCCTCATTTAGATTATACTGCATAATTTTCTACGGATATAGATCATATCTCAGGTGTTGAGAACATAGTAGCAGACTTCTTAAAATTTTAACATACCTTCAACGAAAATATTTAATTGATGGTAATACACTGCTTAAAACACCTGGTTTTACATCAAATAAAGAACAAATTCAAATTGAAATAGTTTCTGGTGAATCACCTCGGGGTCACCAAATTGTATTTTATATATCAATTTTTTTTATTAAAGCTTTTTTAACAACAAAAATATTTTTTATTTTAAGAAAAAATTTAACAGAAATTCAAAAGTAATTTGATTAGAAGAAATAATATTAAATGTTTAAAGTAAAAGTGCTACACTAGAATGTTTTTTGACAAACCTACCAATAAATCCATTAAGACTACCTTCCTGCTAAACGAGAAAATTCCTACCAAGGAAAAGCCCAAAATGGCAGCGCTTGATCGGAATTTATACTACACTTCATCAGTTGCATTAATTCCAAACTCTAAATAAATGTATATTTTAACGTAATTAGTTGTGACGATTTTTTTATTATTATGAACAATTAGCAACTTTTTCATATGAAACTAATTATTTTATTATATTTTTTATTTAAGAAACAAATTGATAAGGCATGGAGTTGTAACTCACCAACTTTTTAATGAGAAGCGTAGTGATCGCTTAATCGTAACAACATTGTTAACGCTACCTCGTTTTTTTCCGGCATATCGTAGTATACTAATAAGTATGGTGGAAAAATTATTTATAATGTTGAAAGAAAAGCCAGACTTTTCCATGCCCTTAGTCGAAGCAAGAGTACATTTCCCATCGTTTGAGAGGCAAAAGACATTTAAAAAAGCCATGTTAACTCATATATTCCGAAAAATTTTCGAAACACGAGTATGTTAGAAAAATTAATCTAAGGCCTCTCCACAAACAATTTAATGCTTTTGAAGTTAATATAACTTGTGGACCATAGGATTATGTTATATTGTGATTGATATGATATTCCATGTGAAAGCGGACAGCAGTCTGATTTACCATCTCCGATTTTAATGAAACTTACCACACATATAACATAAATATATAATATCGAGGGACTATATTCAATAGCCTCTATCTGTCATTTTCATGAAAATAACATATCCAGCAAACTACCCCGCATCAGTGATATTAATTTCAAAGAAAAACATTATTTTTTGGCAATTTTATAACAATTTTTACATTTCTCTATCTTAAAAAAGAATGCAAAACTAAGATAGATAGAGATCTTATCCAAAAATTGCTTCAAACTGTATTATTTTGGATAATTTTCTGTTGCAAAACAAATGTTTTTTACTAATTTGGACATGCTGAACACAAATTCGCCAAAATATTAATAACCGGTTTAATAGTTTTCGAGATATCACTCATTATGATGCTAATTTGAATAATTTTATTGTTGTGTTTAACCATATAACATTGATTTTGACCAAAACATTATAATCTGTTGCTTTTTCAATAATATGGTTTCTATTACTTCATTATATTGCAAAAAAGATAATATTTATTGATATTAAATCAAATAAAAAATTTATATTTCTATAAAAAACTCTCTATCTGAAGGTTGTCAAAATTTTTTTGTATAAATTTATGAATAATTTTGCAAATAATGCAAAATTTTAAATTCCTTTTATATAACGATTTAGAATATGGTCGTAAAAATATATTGTAGAAGAAAAAATTCAAAAATCTTCACGAACTAGCGAAATAAACATTTTTTTTGCTCTCTTGAAAACTTGTAATATTTTAGATAGAGACTATTAAATATAGTCCCTCGATATGTTCCACATAACAATGACTTTTCGAATGGAAACTCATTCCAATGTAAAAATATCACGACTTGAAAATTGAAAAATATGTTAAAAATTCCTAAAAGTACACATAATTGCTCATAACTCTAAAACTACTTAAAGTCCAACGTAATTTTTGATTTCATATAAAATCGTTTAAATAGAATATTTTACTTCCAAAAGGTTAATGGTCAATTTTTATAGTGTATATTTCAATGTCAAATAGGTCAGACAGCACTGTGTTAAAAATTATAAAAATACATGGTATGAGGATACTTATACTCTCTTCTACATTCTAGTGAAAACTTTTCGATAGAGACTCGTGTAGTTCAGGAGTTATTAACCAAAACGTAATTTAAAGCAAGTTTTTTATACAAAATCACATGAAAAATTAAACAAACAGAAAAAATACACTTAGTATCAATTTCAATTTATATGGTAAATTACATTGTATCTCATAAACCACTGGTCCTATTCAAATGAAATGTACAAGAAAATTATTGAGGATGATCAGGCCTTACTGAAAGTATCGTTTGTGATCACAATATTGAAATAAAAGGTGGAAAACAGCGTGTTAGAAGTGAATTCTTCGATTTCAAAAATTATTATGAAGCATCTAGCATCTATAAATGAGATCAAATTTAACCGATCATAAACTTTTCGTAATCTATACAATACACTAGAGCTAGATCAATATTTCAATACTTATTAAATTCAAGGGTTTAAGATATATAATTTTAATAAAGTTGTGGACAAAAGTTAAACAATTATACTAATATAATTTTTCAATTTTATTTATAACTTAGTACTACCATTAAGTTTTATAATACCCGTAATGTATACTATAAAAAATTCAAATTCAGCCAAATCGGTCCTTATTTGCAGATTTGTGAAGCTTTAAAATATTTTTTATAATCGAAGTACTCTTATTTAACACCACGTATCTCACCTTGTATTTTAACAGGGTGTTAACAAAGTAAATTTTCAGTAAGGCTAAATCGTCCTTAATAATTTTCCTGTACATTTTTTATTGGTCCTGCAGTTTAAGAGATAAATAGCATTTTCCATATAAATTGAAATTGATTCCACTTTGTATTTTTATACCCTTCACCTTCGTGAGAAGGGTATATATACGTTAGTCATTCCGTTTGTAATTTCTATAATATAGTTTTCCGACCCTTAAAGTATATATATTCTCGATCCTTATAGTCTATCTGTCTGTCTGTATCTTTGTTGAAATCAGTTTTTAGAGGACCCCCAGATATCGGCGAGATCCGAATGTTTCTGTTAGACATGCTTTCAGGAAGATCGCTATTTAAAATCAGCAAAATCGGTTCATAAATAACGGAGATATGAGCAAAAATCCGAGACAACCTCTGAAAATTTCATCAAAAATTGAGATTTTTTATTCATGCTCAGACAGAAATCGCAACAAACAAAAAACAAAACACATAACCATACGGTAAATATTGTTAATATTGCACCCAGCAAAAAAGTGTGGAAAAAGATGTATTATTTTCCTCACAACTAGTAACCCGAAGTGCTTCAAATTCGGGTGAAAAACCTATGAATTTTACATTAGCGTGTCATGGGAGGGATGTTGTTCATTTTTGACGACTTTGGACTACATCTAATCTTATTTTTAAAAGCAGTAAAAATCCAATGTTTGGATGTCAAAAATAAACCGCATTTTTTCAGTGACATTTATATAAATTTCATTGGTTTTTAATCCGAATTTGATGTACTTCGAATATGTTATTTGTAGTGACTTTTCTATAACTCTTTCCTCACTTTTAACTGGGTTTTCATTTGTAAGGAAATATTTGGTTTATAAAAGCGAAAAATATGTGATCGTATTTTTAGATGTGATTAAGATGTTGTTTGTAATTTATTACATCAATTATTTTTTGCTGCGTACTTGTTTATAAAAGCAAAGCAGAGCAAGAGTAGCAGAGCGAGAGCAGTACTAATGTATTGTTATTCGCTAGAAACATGAAATTAAGTATATGGAGCCTGGCTTAAGTTAGAACCCATAAAAGGGGACTTTTTGGTACTTTTTCGATTTTTACAACTTTTTTGTTCTATGAATGGTACACTCTTTGGTTTTTATGCATATACGCAACAATCTGATTGATCGAAAAACTGTATTTTTTGTAATAATTTTTTGTACTGGCTATTCTATTTAACACATCATGGTGAAGGGTATATAAGATTCGGCACAGCCGAATATAGATCGCTTACTTGTTATCTGTTTGTTTAATTTTCATACGATTTTGTATAAAAAAACTTGCTTTAAATTACGTTTTGGTTAATAACTCCTGAATTACACGAGTCTCCATCGAAAAATTTTACTAAAATATAGAACAGTGTTAGGTATCCGCATACCATGTCTTTTTATAATTTTCAATACGAGGCTGTCTGACATATTTGACATTGAACAATAAACTATGAAAATTTACCCTTAACCTTTTAGAAGCAAAATATTTTATTTGCACGATTTTAGAGACAATATCTTTGGCTTTAAAACGAAATAAAAAATTATCCTGTACTTAATGAATTTCAAAGTTATGGGCAATTATATGTATACACTTTTACACAATTTTAACATATTTTTAAATTTTCAAAGCGCGATATTTTTGGTCTGGAACGGGATTCCAATCAAAAAGTCATTGATTTGAGGAACACCTTTAAACCATAATATGTGTTGGAAATTTCATTAAAATCGGAGATGATAAATCCGAAAATAGCTGTTTTCTGTTCGTTTTGATATGGATTCTCGCCTCTTCTAAAAGTTTTTGGATCAGTAATAATATTGAAGTATTTATTTTGTTAAAATTCCAACTCCTTCAAATGCATATCTGCGGCCAAAAACACTAGTTTTGGGCGACATTTTTTAAAGACAAAAAACTGCAGAACATTGCTCTAAAAAAGCATAAGAGCAAGAGAAATAGCTCAACTTAAAAAAAGCTTGATTTTATCAATGCCCTTAAAAAATAGTGTTTAAATTTTTTTATTTATTGTAATATGTTTAGTAGTTATGATGATAATAGTAATTTAATGATTTCACATCTAACAAAGGGTTTTTCATCATCGCCTCTGAATTTAATAAAACTCCACCAAATGAATTTTTTATATACAGTTAATCACAAAAATAAGTATACAGAAATACTGACGATTGGTTTTATTTAAAAAAACATATTATTTTTTCAAAAAACAAGAAAGTAACACATTTATTTATTAAAAACAATTATGATAATTATTATTCACTACTTTTTTTCTTTATATTTTGGTTCTTTGAATTCTCATTTAAGCTAAAGTTAAAAAGGTGCAAAATTTACGTCACAAAAGTAAGTATACAGATAATTTCAGTATATATTTGGTTTAATGATATTAACAAAATTTATGAAAATTTTACTTGTATTAATATAATTACTTTTTAATAAAATATTTTTTACACAATAACTTGGAAAAAATCTACTTTTAGTTCCGAAATCTTGAAATTTGGGCCGATTGGCTCCGGAATTAATTAGTAGAACAGTTTTTTCTCATTTCTACGATTTTTTTCCACTTTAGACCCCGGATTTTGGATCTGGTGGTCATTGAACCCTCCAAATGATGCATTGGAAATAGAATTTTTAACTTTTGAAAAGAGTTGTTATTTCGAAATTAATGTTATATGCATGGATTTGGCCATTTTGAACACAGTACGTTCTTAAAAACCTGAAATTTAACTCCGATTTCTTAAGACTTACAACATAAACTTTAAAATTTGGATAATTCTATATATTTTCTTTAATTTAAACAGGTTTTCCAAATACTCCGATTTCCAAAGCATACAATAATGCTACCAATCATATCTTGATATACTCGATGCAATAAGCATGTTTTATGGATCGGACATTTTATTTGTTCTAGCAACAAATTAAGATATATCCGTGTTCAAAATTGTTCAATTCGTATTCATACCACCAATTGAGCCTGATTTAATATAAAAATCTTACTATTTTGGACAATAATCATTTTCAGAACCGATATGTAGTGTAAGTTATTGACATGGTCACCATTTGACGATTATTGGTAGTATTTAGGAGTGTGTAATGGATGACTGGAACCAAAAAAATTGTTTTAATTAATGGATACTAGTGCAAATATTATTAATATCGCATTTTAAGATATAAATTTTAGGAAATCGCCGTTAAATATCGAATATGAACGCTATACTATGTTAAAAACGGCAATGTTCCGCAATGGATTGTAATTATTGTAAAGAAACAATTAATTTAAAAGTTAAAATATCGTCTTCCAATGCATCATAATGAACAAACGAGGGATATTATTGAATACCCGATCCAAAACTCCGGGGGTTTAAATAGTCAGATGTTCTTAAATAGGAAAAAATGCTCCTATAAATAATATTCAGATCAATTACCAAAAATTTAAATTTTTCGGAACAAAAAGTGAATTTTTTCCATGTTATAGTGTACAGAATATTTTATTATAAAATAATTACATTCAAACAGGTAAAATTTTCATGAATTTTGTTAATATCATTAAGCCAAATACATATTGAAATTATCTGTATACTTACTTTTGTGACGTAAATTTTGCACCTATTTAACTACATCTTAAATGAGAACTCAAGTAACCAAAATAACCCGGAAAAAAGTAGTGAATAATAATTATCATAATTGTTTTTAATAAATAAATGTGTTACTTTTTTGATTTTTGAAAAAATAATATCCTTTTTTAAATAAAACCAATTGTCAGTATTTCTGTACACTTATTCTTGAGATTAACTGTATGTGTAACTTGTATAATGACAAATTTTTGGACTTATAACTTTCGTGTTTTTTTATAATATAGCGTTCTAAAGCTTAAAATCAGAAAATTTAATGGAACTTCACATTTAAAGGGTTAATGATCGAATTATTGCTTGTGTGCATTTTTGGTTTTTGCAGCAGATTCATTTGCACATCTGTTGCAGAAGTTGAAATTAAAAAAGAATATTAGGGTATTGTGATTACTGATATAAAAGCTTTCTGAAAAGGTATGAAACATACATTTTGTATCGATCGCATTTATGGTTCACGAGGAATTGTAACTTCAAAAAGGATTATTTTTTAATGGACTCGCCTTACAAATAAAAATACAAACGATTTTTCGCTTATTTACTTAGTCCTTGCCATACTATGATGTCTTCCCGAATCCTAATAAGAAAAAGAATCAAGCAAACAGTCGAATGGTCGCTATAGTCAAATTAAGACATCCCGAAAAATCTATTGATGATATATTCGAAAATATTGAAAATGAACAAGACAAAATTGAGGAAAATACAGGTACAGAAAATTGATTAAAATCTATTGCCAATCTTACTTCACTAATATTTTATTTACAGATGGGGATTTTCATAACGAAAAACATTCTTATATTGATATGCCGTTACGAGAAGAATTCTATCGCTGTGTATCTCGTTTTGGAAATCGTGGATGCAGTCAGACTGAAATTTATCGCCATTTGTCAATTAATCATTTATCTTTGAGACAGCTAATTAAAAAAATGACAGCGGAAGGTTTAATAAAATCATATTGTGTTGATATTGGACGCCAAAGAACTAACATGTAAGTGGTTTCAAATTTTTTACTATTAACCTTAATAATGTTCTTAAAATTAACAGAGATGGGGGTAGTGCACTAAATATTTAGTTAAATCAATATTTCACTAGCACTAAATATTATTTCAAAAAATATATTTTTCACTAATTTTCATCAGCTTATATTTTTAGCACTAATATTTTTTAGTGATAATTTCATTTTTTTAACTATAACTCAATTGAGTGATAGTGTAGGAAAAAGCACTACACTCAAATAGTTAAAAATTTGAACAGTCACTAACAAAAGGCTGTAATTTTTCTTTGTAATTTTCTTTGCACTAATTTTTTAAATGAAAATTAAAGAATTTGTAAGACAATAAATGAATAAATTTTTTTAAAAGATACATCTATTAAAATGGAAAATACAGATTTTGATAGCGATGACACTATAATGGACCCTACATAAGCAGTTACTCCAAAAACGTGTCATGCTTTAAAAAGAAATGAAACACCTGAATTCCAAAACTGTTCTAGTAGAACGATTATTTTCTTTTAACGGAATGGTGGACTTTCCTCGGAGAAATAAACTAAAAGGTCGGTTATGTATCTCGATTGCCACTTTAGCTGCGTTGCCAGTTGCCAAAATGATGTGTCTACTGGATGTTTTTATTAAGCAATAGCTTGGAAACTTTGTAAATAATGAACGTTTAATTCATTGACTTGAATGAATTCATGACTTGAATCATTTCTAGACTGACCTATTAACTTAAACTTTAAGGGTCAATCTTTAGGTGAAAGATTAGCGATTAAATTAAAATTAATCCTCGAAAGATGTTTTACTCAATTTGTTAATTTTGTTTGCAAGTTTAAGCGTCCAATGGAGGTGGTTTAATCTTAAGCACGAAATGCAAAAGTGTAAACAGCTGATGCAAAAAATTAATAAAATTTTTATAAATATAAACATTAAAATGTTCTATTTATTGATTAGTATTAATTATGGACACTTCAAAATACATTTTTTTGTTTTTAATTTAAGTTTTCATTAATTTTCATATTAAATTTACAATTGTCTTCTTCTTTTTATAAAATATGCATTGTTTTGATAACAAACAGTGAAGTTTTCTGTTGTTTTGTATGGCAACACTGCGAAGTTTAATCTTGTACTCAAAAACATCAAAGGGAATTAACATAAGATTAAATTTATTTTTAGATTAACTAATCTGATTATTAATTGGCATTTGATTACCATCTCAAAAACCCGGTCTAAATTTAGTGAAACATTTCTCCGTTGAAAAAAATAGTGCAGAAATATTTTTTGAACTAATAATTTAGTGTAGAAACAAATATTTCACTAGGCTGTAAAAACAAATATTTTAACTATTTTTAAAATATTTTTAGTTAAAAATTTTAAATATCACTATCACTATTGTTGAGTGAGGCTTATATTTTTCAATTCATCACTAAACTTAAATAAAAGTAGTGAATAATTTTGAACTACCACTAATTATTAGTGGTAGTTAAAAATTAGGCAATATAATTCTGATTAGTATAAACAACTAGCTATAACCAGTTGCTATTCTAAAACAATGTAAATAAAAACGTCGCTTTATGATTTTTATGATTCTAGCTCAAATATTTTTCCAGATACACGAATTTTTCTATACACTTCAGGCCAACTATTGGAAGTTTTCCAAACGTTAATTTGGATTTTAAGTAACCTATTAAAAATCTAAATAATTTAATAGTATCCCAGATACCTATACGAATTTTTGTTTTTAATTCATATGATAGGTTTCAAGCGCCTTTAATGAAAGTCCGCCTACTTTCCCCAAAACATTCATCCATTTGTATTTAAATTCTTTGTGCGAAAATTTGAAAATTTTAGCTCTTATAGTTTCCCGATAAAGGAAATTTTGTATTTAATTCTAATGGGAGATTCCATAGACCGCGAAATTACCACACAAATCTTCACATTGATGTCAAAGTTGTTCGTGCAAAATTTGAGGATTTTCGCTTTAATAGATATACGATTTTTTTTTAATTCATGTGGGAGGTTCCAAGCCCCCTAATTAAAGTCCGATTTTCATATGGACGCTAGAGTTCTTCGGGCAAATTTTGAAGATTCTAGCTCTAATAGTTTTCTAAATATTCCGCTAAATTATCACCGAAATGTTCACAACGATATCAGAGTCGTTCGTGCAAAATTTGATAATTCTCGCTTTAATAGTTTCATAGATTTACAATTTTTTGTATTTAATTCATATGGGAAACTCCAAGTCCTCTAATTAAAGTCCGCCAATTTTCCTTCAAAATGTTCACATGAACGGTAGTGTCATTCTCGCAAAATTTGAAGATCATAGCTCTAATAGTTTCCAAAATAAACGACTTTTTGTATTTAATTCATTTGTGAGGTGCCACGTCCCTATTGCTAGTCCGCCCATTTTTTTTCATAAATACTCATATTGACACTATAGTGGTTCCGACAAAATTTAAGAACTCTGTTTTTTTTTTCTCAGATATACTAATTTAAGATTTTCTTTATTTGGGAGGTGCAACGCCCGCTATAGCTAGGCCAACCATACTATCCCCATATATTTATGTGAATGTCAAAGATGACCAAACTAAAGACTCTAACTGTTGCACTTTCTGAGATATGTGACTTTTAATATTTATTTTGTATGTGGGCGTGGCACCTCGCCCACATGAAATTTCGAAATAAAGAGTAGCCTAAGTTCTTCCAGACATACAGGAAGACACTGTGAAAATGTCAGAAAATCGGTCCAGCCGTATATCGATTTGGATGAAATTTGCACCATGGTTAGTACTATTGGTCAAGAACTGCTTCAGATAGATATTTCTTTATTGTTTCAAAAATAAATTCCCTTTTTATGCCCTTCACCTTCGTGAGAAGGATATATGTATGTATATAAGTTTGTCATTCCGTTTGTAATTTCCAATATATAATTTTCCGACCCTATAAAGTATATATATTCTGAATCCTTATAGATAGCCATGTCTGTCGGTCCGTCTGTCGGTCCGTCTGTGTGTCTGTTGAAATCAGTTTTCTGAAGACCTCAGATATCTTCGGGATCCAAATCTTCAATAATTCTGTCAGACATGCTTTCGAGAAGTTTACTATTTAAAATCAGCAAAATCCCACCATAAATAACGGAGAAATAAGCAAAAACCCGAGACAATCTGTGAAAATTTCATAAAAAAGTACAATTTTTTGCATGCTTTGATAAATAAGCAACAACAACACTGCTTATTGGAAAAAGATTTATGTGTGGATGTATGTTGGTTTCATTGCGTTGTGTATTTTGTTTTTTTTTGTGTATTTTGTTTGGTATGGTTGGATGCAGTTGGTTTAACTGCGTTTTGTATTTTGTTTTGTTTCTTTTGTGTATTTTGTTTGGTATGGTTGGATACTGTTGGTTTCATTGCGTTATGTATTTTGTTTCGTATGTATGGATGTTTGTTGGTTTCATTGCGTTATGTATTTTGTTTCGAATGTTTGGATGTCTGTTGATTTCATTGCGTTGTGTATTTTGTTTCTGTTTTCTTGTGTATTTTGTTTCGCATGTTCGGATGTTTTTTTGTGTTTTATTTCGTTTAGAGTTCCTGTTGTTCTTATGTTTTGCTATTGCTAAAGTAATGATTGAGTTGGGAAAATTAAATAAATTTAAATTTTATAGGTTAGGTTAGGTTGATAGGAGGATGTATAGTACATCAAATCAGAAGAAATACACCTAGACCACTATCGGGCCTGTTGTACGCTCCTTTTCATGAAAAAAAAAAAAAAAATAAAAAAATTGTTCACTGTTCAGAAGCATAATACCATTAATTCGGCCTCTGAATGACAGTTGCCAATTAACCCGTTTCTACGACACATTCGTAATTCGTTTTGACAGTTCATCGCCATGTTGTTTTTTTTTTTCATTCATTATTTTGTAATTTTTTGGAATATTTGTGTGTGTGTATGATACAAAAATACGTTTATTACATTATTTCAACAGTTTAAGTTGTATATTTTCTATTCATTGGCAATTTTTTGTAATTTTATTTTTATATTTGTCTCCAACCAATGAAAATAATCAGCTGATTATGATAAATACTCGATAAAAATTATAGATGACACTCATTCATTCGTAATTCGTACATAATTCAGTTCGAATTACGTACAGCTTGTGTAATTCGCAGCTGAAGTTTTGTATGGCGAATCATGTCATTCAGTACGTAATTGGGGGTTGAATGATGAATGAGAACGGGAATTACGAATAATTGCACCATGTAAACGGAGTATAAGCTAGAATTGGTCTAATTACACTTTTGTAAAACCAATTAGTCATAGTAGAACTAATTTCATGCCTATAGTTCTCCTTCACATAGCCTAGCACCGATGTGCCTTGTTGATCCTATTCTCTATGTTGTGTGTCCTTTTTAATTTCCGGTCGAGAATTACACCTAAGTACTTAACTTTGTCTGTTACCGGTATCTTCTTGCCCAGGAAGCAAGGTTCAATTAGGTAATTACAATTTCCGTGTTAGCCTCCTCTTCCTCCAATATCGGTTCATCTATGTTATTCGATATACCGGGTGGGGAATGAGGGTCCATTAGGAGTTCCAATGTCTTCAATGGGTCATTCCACGGTGACGGTCGTTTCATTTGTACACATTTGAACTGTTATAATTTCGAAATGAAAACAGAACTTAATACAGTTTAAGCATATTCCAAATAGTAGATATTAAAAAAAAAAAAATTCTCAACCATTTTTATGCAATAAGGGATTTTAGTCCCGTGGCGGTTGCTATTAGTACTTTTACCAAATGTACGACTTTGTTAAGAAATCTCAAAATTTAGCTAAACCAGATATTTTTGTCGCAAATTAAATATCTATATAGATAGCAAACAAATCATCATATTTAATAATGCTAAGTGTTTTGTTGATATTTTATTCTTTATATTTTATTTTTATAAGAGAATTTTGTGTTGGTTGCTACAAATTTTGTGACGGTCATTACGAGTACG